TCTCGCATTTCCATTTCGCACTCCCCCCTCCACCAGCCTTTCCTCTCCCCCATCTCACACTGTCTCCGTCCAATAGCTCCCATTTTGTCTTTGTGCTTTAAAATATGTCATTTACTCCATTTGCTCAGTAACAAATTGCATTAAAAAGCACTAATATCGCAGCTAGAAAGGGGTGAATTATTCTGTGAACCTTTGTTTTTTTTTCAGTACTTTATTGTGCAGACTCTTGTGTGTGGGAGGAAAGGAGACAACTAGTCTGCATTTATAATAATAAGAACAATGCAAGACAAAATGACACTTATTTTCTGTATTTAATTCCTTTTGCTGAGCAAAATAAGAAGCCTGCAGTTCGGCCCTTTCGGCACAAAGGTCTTTTTCAGTTTGCAGGCTTAGAAGCAACTCTGCAGCTTTGTTTTACCTGCAACAGATTTCCCTTATCTTGATGAGACAGGCGGTTTTATTTTGGCTTTATTTGCCTAATTTCCCAAATGTAATCTGCGTTTGGTTGTTCATCTGTTGGCCGCAGCCATTCTCAGTACCCAATTGGTTAACCTCATTCTGACTGTGTATTGTTTTGTAAATATTAAGTGTGATTCTTAAAAAATAACTGCAGAGTGTTTCCACACGTGTGTACAGGCTGTGAGACGCTGACATGAAATCTGAGTGTATTTATGCTTAGGCTCTCTAATTCCACCCTTCATACTGAATTATATAAACAAGTAGTCCCAAGCAAACGCCTACATGAAGAACTCACACGTTATGTAAATAGTATATAAGAATAAAACATGTGCAGGGACATACATGGACATGTTCTTTCTGTATCTGCACACACATATACAGTACACAAATGCACTTAACACACATGGTGGGCTACACAGTGTTTGCAGCCAACACTCCCACACAGTGCAGATCAGACTCAAACATGCACAAATACACCCACATACACACTTAAGAGAAACACAAACACAGACACAAGGTTTTCCACCGTCGTTCAGTTATCTTCAGACTCTGTTTTATTCCGAGGTCCAGCAGCAGCACTTAGAGGTGCCACAAACAAAGAGAACATGTTAAGTACAGTCTATGGTACAGGCTTTTAGTTGCTTACATTAAACTGAAGCCATGGTTGTTGTTGAGATGTTTAAGCATCGTTTCCATCCGCTGTTCACAGATGATTTTGGCAGGGCAGTAAAACCATTTAAACATTTAAAATATCTCTGGTCATTTTATCATGTTTTGATCGATTTGTGCTAGCAGAAGAAGCACAAATGCTCAAAGTCATGAACCAGGGTCACTTTACGATCAGAACATGTATTTCAAGCTTTGGAGTGAAATTAATAGTGGCTGCTTTTTTAAAATGATGGTAAATTGTAAACTCACACTCGCTAGATTTTGAAAATATCGAAGCTACGTCCTCTGATATTAATTTGCAGCAGGCTTTTCTAATTCTCCTGTAATGTCATGTGTTAACACCATGCAGGACTCTTTTACGTGAAGTGTTTCAAACTATTGGATGGCTGGAAACAACATGGCACAAACCCTCTTCTTCCACTCAGGATGAATTGTAAAAACTTAAGTGAGGTTTTTAGCTACTTAGCGCCAGCCACGCCGTGTTTGTGTGTTTCTACAGAGAACTCAAACAAGCTGGATGGGAATATACCAAACCCACTTCTCTCCGTTAATTCAGTGCTAGAGCTGATCAACTGGGCCTATTGGCACTAATGAGCCGCAGCCACGTCCACACACACTCGCCTGCCTGCAGAGTAACACTGTTTCATTGAACAATATATTAAAATCTCAACAAAGAGTTGTAATGTTTATCTCAAGAGGTGAATGAGAATAAATAGTTGTTTACACATCGCTAATGCATTTACGACCAATTTTTAAAGTGGACCTATCATGCTATATTTGAATAATATATTGTAGGGCCATACCTATATAAAACATGTCTGTGAAGTTTAAAAAAAAAAAATACCAAACAGATCATGCATTTTAGCCATGCCTCATTTCGCTCTATTTGCTCTTTTCCAGCCCTGTTTTTGCAAGGGCTGATCTGCTTTTGTGGCAGACTACAGCGCCACTTACAGGCCTGGCATATGTACTACAGCGTCTCCAGGGCTTTCAAACGGCCGTGGCCGTGGCCGTGGCCCAACCCCCCATTCCCCTGATAGGTGGAGAGTTGCCCATATAGGTGGAGCACCCCTTTTCTGACGTCAGAAGAATTCAAATCTGTATCAGATTCGTTGCAGCCCCGTTTTTAGAGATTTGGGTATGGAGGAAAAGAGAGGGTTGTGTTTTCTGACACTTGGTGAGTTCCCTGACACACCGGGGACACATATTCATGTATAAAAGACGTACAAAAGTGCATTTTGCATGATAGGTCCCCTTTAAGTAAAAACACAACACATCCCTCTTTGTCTCAGAGCTGGTTGATTTGGGTTTATTATTAAAGTGTTCATGAGAAGCATTGTGGAAAACTTAAATTCTCCTCAGCAGCAGTCTTGAGGAATGTAAACACCTAGAGAATTCTACAAGCCTGAGCCAAACTATATTATTCTTTTAAAAGCATTTTTCTTTCACAGCAGTAACCCTTTTACTGTACGTCTTGTAGGCGTTTTGACACTGATGGGTGATAATACATGTTCGAATGGAGCGCCTCTGTTAAAAGGCTCCAGTCATTGTATGTTCAGGAATGTGTTTGTTCTCGACACATAATCATCTCGAGTGCTAGTTCACCTGGGTCTTTAAGAGTCACATTCTGGAGTCTCTTTGAGTCAAACATGTCGACTTCTTAGAATTTCTGCAAGTCTTCAGTTTGTACTTATGCCTGGTGTTTTATGTTATTAAGCCTACACTCAGTGCTATAATGGGGTTGACAGAATAATGACAATATACAATACAACTAAACAGCACCACACACTGGAGCCTCAAAAGTGACAGTAGGGTTGAATCAACATCTCTAAAAACTGTTTAAGCATAAACAACTACTAATGAAGGTGTGTATTAATATGAAATGTTGCATTGCTATAAAGGAAATGCATGCATGAACATCTGGTCCCAACATCTGGCCATTTATATGTGGTCAAGGGCTCTGGAAAAAGTTGAGTTACCGTAGAATCCTCTTTAGTTTCCACACTATTAGGTACAGTGTAAAACAATGATACAACTATATAACAACACAATTAATGTACCTCTCTGAAACCATATGTATAAAAACAGATGTATTGTTTTAACTTGGGGTTGTTATAGCAACTGACTGTATTTATACATTTTAATATGTGGAGAACATTTCTATTCAAATGTGTAGATTCACCGTAACACCAGTATGATTAGTATCCCTATGATACAGGTAATGAATGCAGGAATTCTGTCTGTTTCTCAGAGCTTATTATGTTTGTCCATATGTTTGTGTACTTGGGCGGCCATGAGGGTGATTTGATTTGGACCCAATCAAACCCTGAGCTGTGCCTCCTTTTTTTTTTTTTAAGCTTTGAATCTGAACAATGAGCAGTCTGGGAGGCTTTTATATAATTACCCATTCAAGTTCTCTAGGCTTGATTGTACATCTGTTAAGCATCACAGATATGTTTTCCCTGGATTTCATTTTCGACTTTTCTTGCAGGACATAAAAGACTCATTCATATTCCTCCACTTACTCCTTTTTTTCGGTTTCTCCCTGAAGCGGTCAGCCACTTTATCTTGTCCGCTTTGTACCGGCCATTTGAGGAAGCACAATTGCATTTTTCAAACTCCTCTTATGGGTGTTTTATTTATTAAGATAAATTGTTGTATCGTAAACTCATAAATTACAGTTTCTCTTCTGAGATGAATTGTGAATGGACTTTACCCTTTGTTGTAAATCATGTTTGTGCTGTGGAGTAACTTTATAAGTGGTGTTTGTTCAGTGTGTCCGAAGCTCTCTCTCCCTCTTGTTGTCACACTGGCCGCTCTCTCTCACGGCTGGCAGTGACCGCAGGACTCTGAGGTGGTCTGTGTGGGCAGCCTGGAAGCCATCTCCCCCAGCAGATGGCCGTTATTAGTGACAATAAAGACTCTCTCTCTCTCTCTCTCTCTCTCTCTCTCTCTCTC